AATTTTAACAATAATGTAACATTTGAATTTTTAAAACAACTCTCACTATGAAAAATAGCTTTCCATGACAAAAAAATAGTGATTGATATTCAGATCATCACTAACATTCATCACGTTCGTTTTTAACTAAGGGTATTGGTCACTAATATCAATTTTCAAAATTAAATTACACAATCTCGACACAAGTGACATTCTGTCACTATTAAATACATTTTGTGACGATATAATAGACCTGTTACAACAAAAAAACACAAATTGTATCTAATTTTTCGTAACTAATAATCAATAATTCGTAATAGTTGCCTGCTACATAAATGGGGCATACAATTTCATTTTTTATGAAAAAAAGGAAAAAAATTATTAAAATATAGGTTTTGGACTGAATTAATTCCTAAAAATTGTGTCGCACCTACATTTTTATTTTCAAATTCATTTTCTTTAATAGCACAAAAATCATTCTATTATCATAAAAATCAAGGTTTCTAACTCTTTCGAATATCTCAATAATTATTTATCTATAAAATATTTAGTTATTGCTTGAATTGCACCTAAGGATTTCACACATCCTTAGGGATATTTAAATGGCATTAGTCAAGCTCTGACTACATGGGTTGTAAATTTACAACACTTTAAGTAATTTCAATACAATTTTTTTTCCATTCAAAATAAATATGATCATCAAAAAATTAATTTTTACTCAATCATTACTTGGAATGATGTATCATTCAATTTCAGATCTTTTTTTTTTGCTTAGTTGATAGATCTTGTATGCTTTTGTTGGTATATAAATGAAATTGTGAAATAAAAAAAATTTTACATCGGCTAAGAACAAAAATTAGAATTTATTAGCGCTTTATATATATATATATAAAGTCTAAAAGGTGTTAAACATATAAAGCACTTTGGTTAGTACTTATATTATTATTATTATTATTATTTTGATTGAATAATAAAAGATAATTATTTTTTATTTTATTTTATCCACATGTCATGTGATTCAAATTTAAAATTTTTTATTTTTAATAAAAAAATAATTACTGAATTATTTAAATAATTAATAGTAATTATATTATTATTATAGAATAATATGTTTGAAAATTAAAACAAAATAGATATTATTTTTAGAGATTTTTAAATTTTAAATTTTTTTTTAAAAAATTAATATAAAATTCTCTTAAACTTACTTATCAAGCTCGGAGCATTCCACGTCACTCAACATGGCGTAGAAATCTGTAATTGTCCGAATCTATCCACCGACGTTGGCTTTTATATTTACCGGATCCCAAGTTTCCAACCCCGAAAAGAGCATTTAAAAGAAATAATTAAAAACAGATTTTTTAACACTCCTCTTTTTTACCTAATTAACGCAACTCAGCATTTATCTGTTGTAATTTATTGATGATTATGATGTTTAAAAGGATTATTGATAAATTGTATTTTAATTAATGATTAAATTTTATCATGAGTAAAATATCAACTTAACTTTTAACTTTTAATTATTACTTTTATATATAAAAAAAAAAAATTAACGCACCTCAAATAAATAAATATCTAAGAAAGAAGTTACCATTGTTCCTTGGAGAAATATTGCAAAAGAGAGAGGGGGAAAGGAGGGGACCCTAATTTACGT